TTGGAGAAAGAGGCAAGAGCTTGCCTTGCCCTCACGAGACCCCATCGCTCCCCTCCCGCCCCCGATCCGGAGATTCCCCCCTTCACTCACTCACTCACCCGAGCCGTACAGCCGCGATCCGGGAAGGCGAAGGCAGGGCGCAGCGGCCAGCGGCTGGAAGCTCCCCAAGCACCAATGTCGCCCTGCCAGGCAGCGCTGCAGCACCCCCATGCCTGCCGCCTGCCTGCCTCCCTGCCGAGCCGGGCAAGAGCGGGGCCGGCCGGGTTTATAGCCTCAGGGGCCGCTGCTCCGGCTTCTGCAGCAGCCCCCCTTGGCTCCACCCCAGGGCCGGGCGGAAGGCTGGGGGCTTTCCTTAAAGAGACCGACTAGCTGTCCGTCCACCCCTCCTCCTCCTCCCGAGCGCAGCCGGAGCCAGGCGCGCTCCCGCCGGCTCTTGCGCTCAGCCAGCCCACGGGGTTCGTAGCAAATCACGGCTTAACGACTTCTTTCCATGTGAAAGGAGTCTAGGACAGGGGGGTGGTCTTTTTCTCCCCGTCCCCGTGTTGGTATCCAAAAAGAAAATCGCCATTAAAAACAGGGAAGGCAAAAAAGGCTTTTCTCCATCAGAAGAGTTGGATGCCATGGATTAAGCAGAACGGCAGGGGGCCTTTAGGGGCCTGTCCATCCCCCTTTAAAACAAAGGGTGCCCCCAAGAAACAATCCATACAAGTAGCAGTGACACCATGGGCTGCACAAAGAAAAGAAAAGAGAAAACAAAACACCAGATCTTCCAGAATTTTTTTTCACTAGTCTATACAAAGTGACAAGATCAGGGGTCTCCAACCTTGGCAACTTTTAAGGCTTGTGGACTTCAACTTCCAGAATTCTGCTAAACTTCAAGGAGCTCTGGATAAAATAATCCATAGATTTTGTTGTGAAGTTGTGTCCAACCCATCACGACCCCATGGACAATGTTCCTCCAGGCCTTCCTGTCCTCTACCATCCTTTGGAGTCCATTTAACGACTGCTTCGGTGACTCCATCCAGCCACCTCATTCTCTGCCGTCCCCTTCTTCTTTTGCCCTCCATCTTTCCTAGCATGAGGCTCTTCTCCAGGAAGTCCTTCCTTCTCTTTTTTTTTTTTGAGTTTAGTATATTTTATTTTCATTTTCATACACTCACATGTATACACCATACAGTATTAAACAAT